GGCCTCCAAGGTGACCTCGTCCTGCCCAATGAAACCCAAGACTCTACGGTGGGCCTCGAAGATAGCGCCAGACCCCATATGCTTCTGAATGAACGGCGAGGGGGACTCCAGAACCTTCTTGGCACTCTCGATAGGGATCCCGCCCGAACATTTACCATGCAAGGTCCTCCAAGAAGTAGTCCAATTCCTGAAACTCTGCGAGAGCCATCTACACACGAAAAGTTCAGGATGCCGAGCAGGACGCTGGTCACGACCCAAGACAGGAACCCACCAAACCTTGGGGATCTCGCCTCGACACCCGGTTAAAGGGAGCTTAAACTGGAGTTGGTCGGCAAGCTCAGCTTCAGCAAGGTTGGCCCATCGCTTATACAAGTCGGTGAGCCCATAGTGAGCGTCCAGAGACCCCCGACGGGCACAGTCAAGCACTCCATTAGCAAAAACCAGTGTGGCATCCCAGTCCTGAGGAGCAGGTCCAGGCCCGACAGGAACTTCAACAGGCAAAGGAGGAGGCTTCCTAAATTGTAAGACTCGAAGATCGGCTAACCTGGCATGGAAATCGACCCCCGCAGGCGAGTGAGGGGATGTCGGAGCATACCTGTCGACCCACGTATCCCTGACACCTTTAGATAAGCCCCCAGAGACCACGAAAAAATCGTAGACCTTCCCACCAGCTGAGCTAAGACAAGTGGACAAACCGGCCGTGATCACCTGGCCCTCTAATAGTTGAACGAAGTTGGAGTCGTCAAGCAACGAAGGCTCCATATTGAAATCGCCTCCGATCACAAAACTGTTGAGACTGCTGCTGGCAATCGAACCGATCTTCGACAGCAGGGCCAAATTCCTGTCGGACAAACCCTCGCAGCGCGACAGGTAGCAGGAGATGCACAGGATGGGTGGAATGTCCCCAACATGAACAACCCCAGCAACGGCACGATAGTCTTCCACCACATAACCCCCTGGGGGCCAATGGAGGCCCAAACCTGAACGAGCTAGAATAGCCACACCTCCTGAAGTGCCTGAGTCTGACGAAGCCTTAGCACTCCCGAAGATCGATTTCCAACCGTGATTAAGGGCCCAGCGCTGAGCATCTGGGATCTGGTGCGCGAGCAAGTGGTGCTCCTGGAGCAACACCACGTGCGCCGCCGTCTGCAAGATCCAATCCTTAGCAGAACTCCAGGCCGTGCAATTGCAAGTGACTATCTTCAGGTTTATGGCATCCCCCCCCAGGGGCTGGGGGGGGCCCTAAAAACTTCAAAACTTTCAGGCCGAGAAACCGAACCTGAGGGAAGAGGAGCCTGCGGGCCGACAGGGGAAAACGCAAGGTTGGGCTGACCACCAGCTCGTTTTTTGCAAAAGTCCCCCTGTTTGCAGACGCCTCGGGTACTGTTGGCGGAACACAACAGCACGGCTATATATTTATCAAGAGAACGAATGGACTGAGCAAGGCGATCCTCAAGCTCAGCTCGATTATAAACAGCACAGAAAGGAGGTTGGAAAGAGATGCAGTGATGGCCCCCCCTGCCCGCGCTCACAGTGGAGTCGCGCGGGAGGGGGCAAATGGCACTTAGCGGGGGCCAGGGCTGCTTCAGCACGTGCACGAACGTCAGGAGGTGCATCCCCAGCTTCGCCAGGCTGCTTGGCCGCCTCGCCTTCGGACGGGCCCGCCGCAGTGCTGGCAGCAGCGCGGCCGACGGGGCCTGACCCCGCGCCGTTGGCCGCAGCTGCCTGGCCTGGTCCAGCGCCGCCACCAGAGACTGCCGCGCCGTCCTCGCCCTTCCTCTTCTTGCCAAGACGCTGAACATGCTTTGCTTGCTCGTCACGAGCAGACTGGGCCTTCTCCAGCGCCCCCTTGAAGAGGGAGTTGCACGCCTCGCGGAACTGTTCGTTGAGAGCTGCACGTCGAGCTGCCATCTGCTCCTTGTCGTCGTCGGAGACCTCGTACTCGCCCTCGTCGAAGAGAAAGATCGAGTCCAACGAGACCATGTCCAGCACGTTGCAGGAGCCCTGCATGAGCTCGGACACATCCACCTTGGTGCGCCCGAGAGGCTCAGCGGGGGTGGGATCGACCACGTTCCCAGCCAGCTCGCGGACCAGGTCCTTGTAGTTGTCGTCGGCAGCCTGCAAGGACTGCTGAGCCGCCGCCGTCGAAGCCTTCTGCTCCTCCACCTGCTTCTCAAGCTTGGTGAGCTTGTCAAGCTCGGTGGACAGCTTGCGCTCCCAGTACTGCACACTGCTGTGGGCCTTGGCTGCGCGCTGCTGGACGGGAGCGGGAGTGGTGGTGCGGAGCAGCTTGTCGAGCGCCGTCTTGTGACGGGTGGCCGCCTCGCCGTCGCCAGACTTCTCGCACAGGCCGATGAGCGTCCGCAGCTCGGTCTCGGACAGCTTGGCCGAGGAAGAGCCAGCTGGATGCCCGCCAGCACCGCAAGGGCCCCCAAGAGCAGGAACAGGCGCAGGCTTGAGGGCAGGCCAGTGGGTTCCCGACCTCGGCCAGCCCCCGACGAGATTGGGGGGTCCTGCACGCATCTCGCCGCAGTGCTTGCAAGCGATCCAGCCCTCGAGGTTCTTCTTGCATCCGCATGCCTCGCAACGCCAGCGGCGGCCCGACCACGACACAGTGTCCTGACGGGGGGCGCTGATTTTCTCTATCCACGGACTAGTGGGTGGTGCGCGTGTGTGCGTGCGTGCGTGCGTGGGTGCGTGGTTGTGGTGGTGGTGGTGGTGGTGGTGGTGGTGGTGTTGTTGGAGGATGAGGAGGAGGAGGAGGAGGAGGAGGAGGAGGAGGAGGAGGAGGAGGAGGGGGAGGGGGAGGAGGAAGAGGAGGGGGAGGGGGAGGGAGAGGGGGGGACGACAAGCTAGGTGCGCGCGCGTCATATCTGACGTCCTACCCCTCGCTCCCATCCCTTACCATGGCGCTGATTTTCTCTATCCACGGACTAGTGGGTGGTGGTGCGCGTGTGTGCGTGCGTGCGTGCGTGGGTGCGTGGTTGTGGTGGTGGTGGTGGTGGTGGTGGTGGTGGTGCTGCTGCTGCTGCTGTTGGTGCTGGTGGTGCTCGTGGTGGTGGTGGTGGTGGTGGTGGTGGTGGTGGTGGTGGTGGTGGTGGTGATGGTGGTGGTGGTGGTGGTGGTGGTGGTGGTGTGTGTGTGTGTGTGTGTGTGTGTGTGCGTGTGTGCGCGTGTGCTGTGGCATGGCACGGGAAATGACGCCAGCGCTGCAGTGGGAGCACGAGTCGAAACGGGCGGAAGCGCGGAAATGAGGCCAGCGCTGCAGCGGGAGCACGATTCGGAACGAGCGGAAGCACGGAAATGAGGCCAGCGCTGCAGCAGGAGCACGATTCGGAACGAGCGGGGCCCGAAAATGAGGCCGGCGCCTCGGCGAGAGCAGCATTTTGAAAAAAACACAAGCGAAAACCCGTTTCCCGGGAATCCTGTGTGTGAAAAACGCTACGCGGGGGGGGTTCGGATATCTTCGGGACGCCATCAGGGGAAGTGGGAGAGTATTTTCACATTGTGTAATTGTAAAGGAAGAGGAGGAGGAGGAGGAGGAGGAGGAGGAGGAGGAGGAGGAGGAGGAGGAGGAGGAGGAGGAGGAGGAGGAGGGAGGAGGAGGAAGGAGGGAAAAATGGGGGGAATGGAGCCGGGAAGGATGGTTCTGTCAAGCTGGGCTTTCTGCCGTCCGCGTGACAATGTGAGAGGATAAGTCCCGGTGCAGTCCCGGTCTCGCTCGGACCTCGACGCGCAGGAAGACCTTTCCGGATCCCTTTGGGAAACCTCTTGGAGGCCGTCGGGGTGGGGGTGTCTCTGTTTCTCTCTGTCTCTCGCCCGCTCCGCTGGCAGGGAACCCCTCGGTCTCGCTCGGACCTCGACCCCCGGGGGTCTCTTGGGGACCTCTTGGGGCCTCTTGGGGCCTTCTGGGAGGTGCGTTGGGCGGACGGCTACAATCCTCGAGTCGGAATTCCCCTCTTGGAAGGCTACAATCCTCGAGTCGGAGTTCCCCTACTGCAGCCGTCTTAGTCGCCTCTTGGACCGCCTAGGCGCCCCTTGAGCCGTCTTGGGGGCCTCATGGGATCCTCCAGGGCCGTCTTGGGGGAGTCTTGGGAGCCTCTTGGACCATCTTCGCAGGGCCGTGGAAGCTGCCAAGGCGCACATGCTAAACGTGTAAGTTCCCCATCGGAATTGAATGATCTTGGCCTCTTGAGGCCCTCTTGGGAGTGCTCTGGGAGTTTTCTTGGAGCGTCTTGGGGCCTTTTGGGGCCGTATTGGGCAACTCGAGGCCTTCTTGCGCCGTCTTGGGGGCCTCTTGGAACCCTCTTGGCTCGTTTTGGCACCATCTCGGCCTCTCCGGGCCGCCCCTGGAGAGCGAAACGGGGGTATCAGCGAGCATATTAGAGTTGTTGCGGGCTGGGCCAGCCCAGGCCGGGGGGGGCTATTCATATTCATATTCACACACACAAGCCTATATACACATATATATATATATATATATATATATATATGTATATATATATATGTAATGTAATAACCTACCACGGAATATTCGTAGAACCTAAACATGTTCTAGGGACAAGAACGATGACCTCAGAGCATAAACCCGATGTGTTGAGACAAGACAGCCCGACAGCCCCAGCCAGAAGTGTTCTAAGACAATGTCGTGCAGAACCCAAACATTATCATAACATGTTTTGGTGGGCCTATCGACAAGCCAGGGCCCTTCGCCATTACACGTCGGTCGGAAGAAGTAGGTCGAAACATGAAGTAGGCAGGCGGATGTAGCAGATTGGGTCCAGGTCCTCCCAGAGAAGAACCAAGCACAGCAGAAGCATGCCGACTCTTGAAGTAGGAAGGCGCTCGAAGCAGATTGGGATCTGGGAATCCACAAATACCTACTCTCAACGACCGGCGTGTACTCCATGAGACACCCCGCATTCGCGGGGGGGGGGGGCGGCCCCAAGGCCCGGACCACGAGGCCGCGGATGCGGCTGTGCTCTGCGCCCGCCGGGCACCGGGGCGCCCACCACGGCGGCGCCCCCGCCGTGGTTGCCGAGGGAGCGCCGGAAGAAGCGGCCGTTGGGCTCCCAGCAGCACATCACGTAGCAGCAGTCCAAGGGCGGGAGCGAGACCAGGCCAGGGATGAAGTGGAAGAGGCAGCCCTTCACCGACTCCTCGGTGCACCAGGTGCACTCGCCGTCCGGTCCGCAGCAGAAATCGCCGTTCTCCCAGAACGAGATGGCCACGAAGCCGACGCAGAAGCCGGCGAGGCACTTCTGCTCCACGGTGCGCTGCGTGCCATCCCCCTTAATGTTTTCGGGGTCGGGCTGCCAGAAGCAAAGGCTCACGACGCAGCCCATGCAGCAGAGGAGCTCCAGGATGAGCGCGCAAAGGGCCTTGCCTTCAAAGATGCCCAGGGTGGGGTCGCCGTGCTCGTACCCGGACATGGCGCACGGTGGGTAGCACACTTTTGCACAGAAGGAAGGGGGCACCCGCGCACCGACGGCCTTGCCGTTCTGATCGGCGGTCTGCGGCATCCACCCGGGCCCCTGAGGCGTCTGCGACATCGCCTGCTGCTCGAAAGGCTGCGCCACGGCGGCCATCGGCTGCCGATGTCCACGGGGGGCCCGGGGGCGAGAACAGGCGCAAAGAGTTTAGTGGTCACGAAGAGCTTGAGCCAAAACGGCTACGCAATCGACGCCAACGCGTCTTGATGAAACTGTGCAAGGAGATACGTGCAAGCGAAATCATCAAACAGTCGCTGACCAGATGCACATTCATGTTCTCGTCGTGGGCACCGTTGCTGCACAGACCGCTCACGATCTGGTCAGCATGGGCTCCTAAAGCTGGATCTAACAAGATGTGGATAGCTTTCTCTGTATATCGCTCCGCATGGTGATCGAGCCCTGCCCAGTCGGACCCTGACTGCTACTGTCGCCCCCACGTTTCCGAGCATACACAAACGAATTCTCGCCTCGGCAGGTTGAGCGCTGCAACGGCCAGCGCCATGATGAAAGGGGGGAGGATGTTGCTTTGCGGTTCACTTAGCATGCATACTGAACTTGTGCTTCGGCAATCCAAGAGAAGTTACGGTCTGCATGCCAACTTCAAACGCATTTAGTGGAGGCATCGCGCATTACTTAACATGATGATTCGGAGGCCCGCGCGGACTTTTTGGATCGGCCCTTGCCCCTTCGCGGAGCGCGCCAGGGGCTGCGCTGGAGACGCCGCCAGGGGGCTCAAGCGCCGATCCCAGACTTCCGCGCGGGCCTTTGAAACTTTGTCTTAATGACGGGGCTGCACCCATTGCCCGCGGCTCGAACGAACTCAAGACGGGTGAAATGTGGAGAGGAAGGCCTGACGAAGGTCGGACACCGTGCCGCGAGGCGCTCAGCGGAGTGTCCTCGGGCCCCTTCGGGTTCAAAGGGGCCCATCGGCAAACAAACACATCAACACAAACGATATGATTTCCCCCATTTTGAAATATTTGATGGATTTGCCTCTTCCCTTCCATTTCCGACGATCCCCAAAGAGTGCTTGCACTTAGGGGCTCTTGATTGATTTCTGAAGACCTGGGCATACGCGGCGGTCCGGCGGCTATGTCGCCGCCATCGCCGCTCAGTCGCCGCCGCCAGTCGTCTGGGCCTGCGCGTTGGCCTGGATGCCATGTCGCCGCCGTCGCCGCCCCGTCGCCGCCAGTCGTCTGGGCCTGACTGGCGGTCTGGCGGCTATGTTGTGGACGTCGCCACCCTGTCGCCGGCCCGTCGCCGTTTAGGTTGTACATCGTACATCGCACCACAAAAATTGCACAACACATGTTCTTTTTTTTTTATAAAAAAAAAAATCTCCGATCCACCACCCCCCTGGGATTATCCGCCCACCTCCTGGCATTGCAACTTGAATGCGAATTTGCCCCATAACTCTTTCAAAAATTGAGCCCGTACCACCCCAGCCAATCGGGTATCGACACCCCCTGCCATCATTTGCAACAAACACTATGCGCACGCGCTCGTTTATTAAACACAAGTATTCTCACAATCCCTGTCAAAAACTGTGACGGAATTTTCGCGCGCGCGTCGTCGCACGCGCATGTCGGAATCCTTCAGATCCTTCGGTTCCGTATGGATTTCGCAAAAGAGAGTACGTGACACATGTGATTATGTATACGTGTATGTATATGCACAAAAATGAAAATAAAAAGGGAAAGTGGTGGGTATATCACATATGATATACGGTTGTGCAACATCCGCTTGCAAGCAAACGTACACGCGCGCTAACCATCAGTTCGTCATCTAGGCATCCAATTCTGCCAAATGGGCTTCTCGCGCGCGCGCATGTCGAACTCGTTCGACCGCCCCTGCGCGCGTGTGCGGGGGGGGGGGGGGGGCACGATCCCTGTCAAGTAACACCATGCGGGCCACTCGCACGAGTCGGCCGCGCGCATGCCGAAATTAACATCGCAACCGTCATCGCCGTCGCGAGGACGCCATCATTGCCATCGGCGTGAACAACATCGGCGCCATAATTCGCGTTGCCACCGTCATCGTCATCATCGTCACCAACTTCGGTACTATCATTTCGTGCTTACCGTAGTCGACGTCCCCACGGTACCGCACCAACCCAAATCACGGACTCCCGCTGCAGTGCCCGCGCGTCAACGTGGACTGCAAGACGCGGTGGGCGTGCCCAGCGGTCATCCCCCCCTCGGCCGCGTCAGTCGCGCCAGATTCGCTGGCCGCCGTGCGCGCGAGCATGCGCGGGCCAGCGCGGCCACAGAGATGCACCAGCCACCACCTAGCACTTCTCGTTGAAGCAACCGCCGCCACGTGGATTTCGCAAACCAAATTGCGGGTGGGTGGGTGGAGCAATGCAGTTGACAACCCCAATTCTCCTTGAACAAACTGCACCAATAAAGTTGCACCACGTGCGACGTAGATTGGACAACATAGATGGCACCACGCAAAATGTACCACGTCGGCTGCACCATAGCAATTCACATCACACGTTGCACTCTGCAAATTCCACCCGCTACTAGAATACACCATCCAAATTGCCTGACACAGTTTGCACCATATAAATTTCCCGTCAAATATTGCAATCACATATTGCACAACAAGACAGCACAACATACACTGCTGCATACCATATACCCCACTCTCGAACATAATATTACGGTATACCCCTCCCGCCCCACACCCAGACTGCAAATGTCACCCCTTTTTTGGTGTAGTGATGTACTAGCGTTTGTGCCAATCGTTAATCCGGGGGGTGGGGGGGGGAAGAAGCGTAGGAGCAGGAGGAGGAGGGGGACGAGGGGGAGGAGGAGGAGGAGGTGGAGGAGGAGGAGGAGGAGGACGGGAAGCTGGATGAGGAGGAGGAGGAGAGAGGGGAAACTGGAGGAGAAGGAGGAGGATTTTTTGTGTTCCTCCATGGGGCGCGAGGAGGAGGAGGAGGAAAAGGGGAAACTGGAGGAGGAGGGGGAGGAGGAGGAGGAGGAGGAGGAGGTGGAGGAGGAAGAGGAGGACGGGAAACTGGATGAGGAGGAGGAGGAGAAGGGGAAACTGGAGGAGAAGGAGGAGGATTTTTGTGCTCCTCCATGGGACGCGAGGAGGAGGAGGAGGAAAAGGGGAAACTGGAGGAGGAGGGGGAGGAGGAGGAGGAGGAGGAGGAGGAGGAGAGGAGGAGGAGGAAGGAGGAGGAGGAGGGGGGGGAGGAGGGGAGGAGGAGGAGGAGGAGGAGGAGGAGGAGGAGGAGGACTAACGAACGACCCATACCCATCACAACCTGCCCTCCTCGGAGGAGGTCCCATCAGTCGCGGCGCTGCCCGCGCCGAAACGGAGCGGTCCGCGCGCGGCAGAAGCCGCGCCCCGCGCCCAACGAAGGGCGGGCTACGCTGGGCGGGGGCGGGGGGTCCTGAAGCTGGCAAAAAGACGGGGGGCGAGGAGGGACCGCAGGCGAATAACGACACCGAGAACCGCCCAGCAAAAGCGGAGGAGGAGGAGGAGGAGGAGGGGGAGGAGGAGAGGAGGAGTAGAGAAGGAGGAGGAGGAGGAGGACGAGGAGGAGGACGAGGAGGACAAGGAGGAGGAGGAAGAGGAGGAGGTGTCCCGCCTTAAAATTGCAATCTGCCGTTCGTTCGGCGCGCTACAGGAGGGCCGAAGATCCCAATTTTAAGGCGGGGGGGGAGGAGGGGGAGGAGGAGGAGGAAGAGGAGGATGAGGAGGAGGAGGAGCCGCAGCAGGAGGAGCAGGAGGAGGAGGAAGAGGAGGAGGAGGGGGAGGAGGCGGAGGAGGTGGAAGCGCCAAGGCAGGCGGAAAAGGCGGCAGCCATCCAAGATTTGATGTGTTTTTGCCCTCCCCGCGGAACTCTCGACCTCGCTACCTCGATCCCTGAGGCGGGCGGATGCCCCTCGCCGCGGCCTCCAGCGCAACGCCACCGCAACGGCGCCGACTGGCAAAGGCCGCCTCCGAACCCGCAGGAGGCGACCTCAAATGGCACGACGGGGGGTCGCCCCTGCTCGGCCCCACGCGCGCGCATGGAGAGGGCGCGCAAACGAGCGCAGCACTGATCAAGCTCCTCCACCTCCTTATTCTTCTCGTCGCCGCCCTCCTCCCATCCCCCGCCATGGTTCCTCAAATCGTTTTCGAATGTCGCCTCCCACTTCTGATCAATATCCTCCTCGCGTCTTGCTCTTCCACCCGCTTCCCGTCGACCTCCCTCCTACCTCCCTTCCACCTCCGTCCACCCCCTGTCCACCTCCCTCCTCCCCCCTACCTTCCCAGCCGCCCTTCCCCACTCCCCCGCTTCGTCCTCCTCCCCCTCCTTCTACTCCTCCGCTTCTTGCCCTCCCCTTCTTTCTCTTCCTCTATCTACTCATGACCATCGCCGTCACCATCGTCATGGGCATCACCATCGCCATGGTTTCCATTATCATTACAAGGACCATTGCAGCGCCCCAGATCCTCCTTACTATCCCCTGTCCTTCTCCCTAACCCCAGCTTGGATAGTGGGCCAAGGCCTGCAAACGTGGCCTCGCTGAGCGCCAGCTCAGGGCGCCAAGTCCCTCCCCAGGACTGTCAACCAAGGATCCTAGAACACCCCATCGATGGGGCAGTCCTTGGAGTCCAGCATGTGGTCGCCAAGCCACTGCGACCACGCGAAACGCACAGCTGCCAGCATCGCGTTGTAGCTGTTGTTGCCGTGCTTGGCCCACCTCTCGCTGTGCCGAGGGTGGGGCTTGACGTGGACCTGCCAGCTGCCGACCTGGTTCCCTCGCCACACCGTGGCCCCTGGCGGCAGGAGAAGCTTGGCCTGCGCCTGCGGTAGGTCGTCGTGGCCGATCGGCGTCTTGAAGATCTTCTTGGGGTACTTCAGGTCCCGCATCCTCCGCCTCGCAGCTGCTTTCAGATCGCCAATCTTCTTGTCCCCTAGCAGGGCGTGGTGCAAGTCGCGCACGGCCGACTTGTACTCCCTAACCTCATCGTTGGACATTTTCAAAGTCTCGAGCTCCTTCTTCAAGGTCACCTGGTCCTGCCAGAGAGGCAACCCGAAAACGCCAACCTGCCACCCCTTCAGTCTGAAGGGGGGGAGAGCCCGGCAGGAAGTGGGGGGGCGGAGGCTGAGGAGGCCGAGATAGAGGCCCGAACGACTCACCCATCAAGGGTAAATCGTTCGAGCCCCCATCCCCG